AGCCCGGCCACATCCTGGCCTTCCTGCCTTCCCAGCACAGTCGGCCCGTTATTTTCCCCCGGAGTCTGGGACGCGTCTCATAATTCTGGTAATTACGTCCCTCTCCGAGCAGGCAGAGTTCATTAATTTTGAGAGACGGAGATAAAAATTCAAGCTCTGCAGCGTAATGATTGTGTAAAATCAGACAGGAACATACACCAGAGAAACAAAAACACTTTATTTAAATGTTAATTTAGTCGTTTCAATAAGTAATTAAAACAAGGAGATTAGTAATTAAAACAAGTACAGACATGAAAAGTGAGAAAAACTCACAGAAGCCCAACAACAGGCGGCTCTTTCTTATTTTTTAATTTACTGGTTTTCCCTTCGAAGTTTTCCGGACACTGACTGCCTACAGCTCTGACCCGTTCATCACGGGCGGAAGCCTAATCTCTCTGGAACAGGGCGCTGAATTTTTACAAACGTGATTAAAATGATCGAACAAGCGGCATTCAGACAGCCGTTATGGAAATCAGCGCACTGGAAAATGGAACACAAAATCTCACCGCCCGCCGAGAAGGACAAGGCTCACAGTGCCACGCGCACTTTGTAGCCTTTTGAGGACACACGGATGCACTTGGCAACTGTTCACAATGGGGGAATGGAGGTGAGGGTCCAATATTGTAATCTCCTGCGCTCGGTCGGTATAACGTCGTAACTGTTTTTCACGTTACTACGACGCCTTCTTTATCGTAATGGCGACATCGCATTGCATCTATTTTTATTTACCTTATTTCTGTAAATTTGGGGGCTTTTTTTTCCTGTACTTTGTAGATGATTTACTTATGAAAAATTCCCTGGGATGAGTCGAAATGCATCAGTATTCTTTTTTAAAAGAATTTTTATTTGTTTTTAGAGAAAGAGGGGAAGGGAGGGAGAAAGAGAGGGAGAGAAATATCAATGTGTGGTTGCCTCTCCTGCGCCCCCTACGGGGGACCTGGCCCGCAACCCAGGCCTGTGCCCTGACTGGGAATCGAACTGGTAACCCTTTGGTTCACAGGCAAGGCCTTAATCCACTGAGCCACACCAGCCAGGGCACATCAGTATTCTTATCCAGCTCAAAAGGAATTGCTGGTTGCTTTCCAAACACCTGGGATGATTTAAATGATTCCATGAATGACAGCGTCGGCCTTACCACTTCCCGTCACCACTGGCGCAAGCAATTAAAAAGGGCGCATGGAGCGTGACTGGCACCCACAGGTCAGCCCCGTGGACCGTTCCGAGCAGGTCTGTGAGGTCGAGGCCCACCCAGTGGCGGGCAAGCCGCAGCTCTGTTTGTGGACGAGCTCAGTTTCCTCGTCCGAGGGAAGAAGGGCGTGAGTGGTGTCGTCCCCAGAGACCATGCTGGTTTAAATGCCCAAACCTCCAGTGCAAGCCAGTCGCTCCGCGCTTCTGAGAATCTCCGTGCTGGTGTGTCGTAGACGAGTTGGGGGGTGGCACCAAGCTTCCGTAAGAGTGACAGCCCCCCGGGAGACCTCAGGATGCCCGGGAAGGTGGTCGAGGTCTGTTTTAAATGCGCTTCTACTGGAAACGAGGCAGGAGAGTAAGAAATGGGGGAAATTCCCGGCAAGTGGCATGAGGAAACCGAGGCAGGGAGCTGACGCCCGTGGGCCCCGTCCAGCACCCCGGCTCACCTGCCTTCTCCCATGTGCATCCACCCCCTTGAGCACGAAGTCTTCAGGACAATGCGGTTCTGGCCCGCGTCACGTATCCTTAGGGACAAAGCCTCAGGTCTGCTGACCACAGAGACGGTCTTGGTCAAACCAGAGGGGACACCTAGGCCTCAGCTGCGTTGCAGCTGCAGACCCAGGACAGCAGGACAGACAGAGGGATGCCATGGCCACCTCAGGAACAGCTACAAAGACTAACGACCCCCCTGCCCTGGCACCGACCAATCCGCAGAGACCTGGACCCTGAATGGACACACCAGGAAAGCTGGTGAATATTCTTTTGAGATCCCCCCCCTCAAACTCCTGCCTTTGGAAAACTGATAAAAAACCCTTAAGGCAAAGGACCCAGGGCGCTCTCTCTCTCTCTCTAGAACACGCCCATACCTGTGTCGCCCTTCTTTTCGAAGGCGCACACCTTGGCTTCCTTTCCCCAAGGGCCCCTCCTCGGCCGCCTCGGGGGCTGGTTTCCTGGGCGCACGCGGCCCGGCTGGCTCACTTCCCCCGCGAGGGCCAAGGCGGCTCGGCCGCCGGGACCCACTCCTGCGGCTGCGGCCTGGCCTCTCCTGCCTCGGGCCCTTCCTCTGTTCTGCCTCTGTTGCTTCCCCCGCCCCACTCGCTCCAGGTGGCTCGACCGGCCCACAGACGCCCCCCCCCCCAGAAGGACGGGCGGCCTCCCCGCGACCACAGCCCCTCTGTTCAGGCTGCTTGTGCCACACGAGCCCAAAGCCTCCGGACGACAAACAAGCAGAGAGCACCCGGCGGGTCCTCGGAAGGGCGAGAGGGACCCACGACCCTGGGCCTCGCTTTCTCGGCACCGGCGTGTGAGGCCGCAGAGAGGAGACGACGTCCTTGGCCGGACCCCAGGGAAGAAGACCCGCCCTCGGGGGGGGGGCACCCTGGCTCAGTGGCACTCCAGCCGGGGGCCTCTGCCATCTAAGTAGGATGCGGCCCCTCCACCCGCTCCCCCTTCTCCTCTCCGCTGGGGTCTGCCCGCAGGAGCGGGCAAGCGCAGCCTGGAGACCAGAACAAACTGGGCGGGATGGGGGCCGGGCTGACTGGGCCGTCGACGTGCGGCGCTCAGGACCCGTTTGTCACGCGAGGGACTCAGTGGCATTTTAAGGGGACACAGCCTGCCTTCTGCGGAGCCAGCCTGCCGATCTCCGAGATGGAGGAAGTCCTTCCCTTTCTCCTTCCCGAACGCGGTCTCTGAGGTCCCCTTGTTACTGGGCTAAAACAACGTCTGGGGAAATAAACGACGTGTCACCGGCCATCGATCCGAGAGGGGACGGGCCGTTCTCGGCTCGCATTTCACGGCTGAGTGCGGCCGTGCGTGCGGGGGGGCGCTGCTTTTACTAAACCGACGTCCTCGCAGGAAATATCGACATCGCGGTGACACTAAGACGCACTTACCCCGCAGGCCACCGCCTGCCGGTCTGCCCCTCTGCATCCCTATCAGAAATCCATTTCTGCCACGGCAGTGCTTTGTAGCGGCTGGGACAGAGTTCCACGGGGTGGTGGGGGGGGTGGCTCGACCAAAGACGATGATTTTGTTGTTGTTGTTTAAATGCAAAATGCAGGCACCTCCATCCTTCCCGAGTCTCGCTTGGCAGAGCCCAGCTTGGCTGCAAGAAGGTCTTGTCCAGGCCGCCCACCCCCCCGCCCCCCGGCTCTCCTCGCACCCGCGCCCTGTCCGTGTACACGGCGGGACCCGCTGCATCCTGAACCTCACACACGCTTCACGTTTTAAAGAAACAGCGACCGTCACCCCAGCAAGACGTGAAAGGTACTTAAACAGCAAGCAGGACGCTCTCGAGGAGGAAAAAGAAGGTTGAGCGGCCCTTGAACGAGTCTGGGGGTGGGGTGGGGCCACGGCGCAGCCACCTCTTCTTGTCCCTGGAACAGAGGCTCTGGGCACCTGCCAGACCCTCAGCAGTCACCCGGGGGCTCTGCTGCAGCTCTGGGCTCAGGGTGCTCGTCTGTGAACCCCCGAACCCCAGGTAGTGGAATCCCAGGACTTCTGGGTTCCCCATCCACACCAGAGATGCGTCCCCATCATTCTGACCTGGGATCTGCCTTAGTTTCTTCCTCCAGTTCCCTCACTGCCTTGGACTAGAGTAGGACACCCCCGCCCCCCCACCGACTCGGAGATGCAGCTGTTCTAACGAGGAGAATGAACTTCTTGTGGAAAAAAATTAATTCTCTTTAGATCGATTTTGGGTATACAGCTTCTTCCCCGTGTTGGAGAAACCCCTTTAACGGCACAGGAACGCCCCATCGCAAAATGCCACTTGGATCTTTGGGAAGGCAGGCGTTCCCAGGTTTCACGGCAGTGGCCGTCACACGGCTGAGCACGCGGGTTTTCAGGCGCCAACACCATTCACTGCTGTGAGTGTGAGTACAGTCGGCACCTGCACGCAGGGCCCCTGTGCAGGCAGGGACTCATTTTTTTCATTTTTATACTGATGAGAGAGAGGGAGAGAGAGGAGAGAGGGGGAGGGAGAGAGAGAGAGAGAGAGAGAGAGAGAGAGAGAGAGAGAGAGAGAGAGAGAGAGAGAGAGAGAGAGAGAGAGAGGAGAGAGAGAGAGGAGAGAGAGAGGAGAAGAGAGAAGAGAGAGAGAGAGAGAGAGAGAGAGAGAGAGAGAGAGAGAGGAGAGAGAGAGGAGAGAGAGAAGAGAGAGAGAGAGAGAGAGAGAGAGAGAGAGAGAGAGAGAGAGAGAGAGAGAGAGGAGAGAGAGAGAGAGGAGAGAGAGGAGAAGAGAGAAGAGAGAGAGAGAGAGAGAGAGAGAGGAGAGAGAGAGAGAGAGAGAGAGAGAGAATGTGTTGTTGCACTGATTCAACATTCATTGGTTGATTCTCATAAGTGCCCTGACCGGGGATCAAACCCGCCACCTTGGTGTATCAGGACGGCGCTCTAACCCACTGAGCACCCCGGCCAGGGCGAGGTTAGTTTGTTTCTTACGATGAGATCCGGCAAGTCCTCCTGAACTAGTTTCTACGCATGACCGCCGTTGTCCCGCAAATGTGGGAAGTCTGGGGACTTTATCTTTCAGTTATCTGTGATCTGTAACACTTGTTTTCAAAACCGCAGAGAAACGTCCCACACCCTGGCAGAGACTGGGCTTTGATCTTACTAAATTAGCGTGCTTTTGATTTCTGATTATCTGCCGTGGCTCAGCCTGCAGCATTCCACGTTCCTCGCTTCTGCGTGGCTGGGCTGCGAGTCGAAGCCGAGAGTCATTTCCTGCAGGAGCCACCACGGAACTTATCCTGGTCATCACAGAGGGTACTTACAATTTTCTTGCCTTCTATCAGCACGGTAGACGTATTGGACTCAACATCCCGCAGGATCACGCTTCCCTTCTGCTCTCGGTAGATGAATTCTTTGTCTGCGAGGGAGGAAATTAAAAGAGAACCATGAGCCATCCAGGAACTCACCGCGCCTTTGACGGACACTTAGTACAATGAATGGGTTGCTTGTGAGAAAACACAGCCGGCGTTTCGTCAGAGGGCCCTTTCAACGTGGGGAAATGTATTTAGTTCCTCCTAACATAACCCCACAGGCAGCTCTTCTCAGACTCTCATCTCCCGCTCCTGTTCTGCACCCCGGCAGAGCAAGCACGGGCGCGTGTGCTCACAAGATTTTTAGAACACTCTAGGTCTGTTTGGGCAGGACACACGGAGTGGACACAGACGGCAGCTTGAGAAGCCTGCTACCATAGGGGATGGAGGGTAATTGGCACTGAATGCACCAATTTCTGTTTTTTAATCCCCACCGGAGGACACGTTTATTGCTTTGAGAGAGACAGGGAGCGGAGGAGAGAGAGAGAGAGAGAGAGAGAGAGAGAGAGAGAGAGAGAGAGAGAAGCATTGGTCAGTGGCCTCCTGTATGCGAACCCACGATCTAGCTGTGTGCCCTGATCGGGAGCAGAACCTGCGACCTTTCGGTGCACAGGATGGCGCTCCAACCAGTGGTGCCACCTGGCCGAGGCCAGACCAATTTCCTGTATCTGAAACGTTGGGGTGAAGTCTGTATACACGCACACACACATATACCGCCCCCCCCTCCACAGCCTGTGGAATCGTCTCCACTTTGTCCACAAGTTTCCCTTGATGCTCCGTCCGGAACCGGCTGTTCCTCTGAGATCTCTGAGTATCTACCCTGTATCTCTAGCGACCGTGATGCTTTGCACAATCCGCCACCGCCTTGAAAACTAACAAAACAGGTGTGCAGGCTAGGGCGCCTGCAGGGGGTTAGCAGCCGTGTGTGCCCGCAGCGCCACACACTGTCACTGAAGGGGGAGCTTTCGGCCGATAGGCCTGCTGGTGATGGGCAGGCCACACGAAGGGGAGAAGGAAGAGTATCTTTCTGGGTGAAGGGGGTCCCACGGAACCAGTGTGAGGGCGAAGGCATTGGGCACAGTCTTCAGAAACGCCGTGTGCAGGCTGGGTCAGTTCTGACGGCGGTGTCCTTCCTAGTGTTTCTTCGTCCTGCCTGAGACAATCACACTCTTTTCCTCTTCCTTCCTTTCTTCTGCTTGCTTTAATTTTCTCTCCTTCTTCTGGTTGGTTGAGGTGCAAGCTTAGGTCTTTGGTTTCGCTTTCCATCTTTGCCAATAAAACTATTAAGGCTAAAAATTTCCCTCCCTGGATGGTGTTAGCTACATCTCACAGACTTTATAGGCTGAACTACATTACTATTCAGTTTGAATTATTTCTAATTTCCCCTGTAATGTCTGTCTGGCCCAATGATTATTTAGAAATGTGTTGTTTAATTCCTAAATATATAGAGTTACTCTGGCCCTCTTATTTTTATAGATGTTTAATTTAAATTCGTCGGATCAAAGATTACCCTGTAGATGACTTCAGCCTTTTTACAACTCATCAGGACATTGCTGTGGCCCATAACGTGGGCTGTCTTGCTACATGTGCCATATGCATATTTAATGAAGTGCTGATACAGTTTGGTTTGGTCTTTTTCATTTTTTTGGCTTATTTTCTACTTGTCTGTCAACTTCTTTCCCCCCCTTTTTTTTGTTTCTCGGCTTTCAGTTTGTTGTTGAATATTTTTAGAGTTTTAATTTCCGTATTTTTAGCTGTATTTCTTTGCCTTTATTTTTAGCGGTTGTCCTGGGGATTCTAATATATACTTCTCACTGCCGTGCGGTCTGTGAAGGGTTAACAATATTACTTCTCAGACACACAGAAATCGGCCAGGTCTGCAGGCCCCTGTCCAGCCCCATGACTTTGTAATTATGTGTGTGACATGAACAGGGCGCGTGTATTCCGCAAGACGATGCTGTGATGCTTGCCTGGAACAGAACAGGGCTTGTGCAGGAATCAAGAAGGGGATGCCGAAAGGGTCTTTTGCATTTACCCACTGTTTACCATTCCGATGCTTTCTATTCTTTCTCGAGATCTGAGTTTCCGCCAGACGCCCTTTTCCTGCTGCACGAAGGACTGTCCGTAGGGTTCCCGGCTGTGTGCGTCGGCCGGGGCCGCGGCCCTTTATGCTGGTTTCATCCGAAAATGTCCTCAGCGACCCTTCGCCCTTGAAGGACATTATCTCTTCACAGAGAATTCCAGGTCAATAGGTTCTTTTTTCCTTTCCTTTTAGCATTTTGAAATTTCGTCCTGCTCTCTCCTGGCCACCGTGGTTTCCGATGGAACCACCAGCCAGCCGCTAGCTCCATTGTTCTTTCCTTGCGTGTTTCTCCCCTGCATTGTTCTCCTGCTGCTTTTGACGTTTGTTTGCTGTCTTTCGTTTTCGACAGTTTGACTCCGATGCCTTCAGACCCGGCCGCGCTGTGTCTGTCCGACGTCTCCTGAGCGCCATGTCCCTGCAACTTCCCCTTGTCCCCAGATCTTCAGCCAAATGTGTTTTCTTCTCCTTTATCTATGCCTTCTCCCTCTGGCATCCCAAGTGCACGTTCGTCAGATTGGCCGTATCGTTAAACTGCCTCTTTCGTACGTAGCTGACGCTTTGCCTGTTGACCTGTCCTTCAGTAAGAACACGATGTGGAAATTCCAAAGTCAAAGACAAATCAAGAACTTTGCGTTGAAATCCATCACGATGGATTAATTCTCTCCCAGGGATCCTTGCAATTTTGTTTTATATATTTTGCGGCAAAAATTTTTAAAAGATTTTATTTATTTATTTTTAGAGAGGGAAGGGAGGGAGAAAGAAAGAGAGAGGGAGAGAAACATCCATGTGCGGTTGCTGGGGGTTATGGCCTGCAACCCAGGCATGTGCCCTGACTGGGAATCAAACCTGCGATGCTTTGGTTCACAGCTCGCGCTCAATCCACTGAGCTACGCCAGCCAGGGCATTTTTTGCAGCAAATGTATTAGAGCCACGGTTTTCTACCGTGTGCCGTAAGAATGTTTAAAACACGCCACACCTGGCTGTTGAGTCAGGGGCACAGACCTCTTTCCCCTCAGACTGTCTGATAAGAGACATGACAACAGCCAACACCAGGGCTGTCCAGTGTGAAGGAATCAAAGTGATGTCCATTTTTTGGGGTCAGGTCGGCTTTCTCAGAGCACGCGGGTCACGTCTGCCGCCGCTGTTCAGCTTGCGCCGTGATGCGGCACGGTGTGAGGGGCCCCTGGGACCGGGGACGATGAACCGAAAAGCCGCCCGCGCTGCGGACTCTCAGAAGTACCAAGTGTGGGGTGCGTCCAGGAAGAGACTTCCTGCAGACAACCTCACCCGTCGCCGCCTGCCGGCGGTCACGTCCCCCAGGCCAGGGACGCGGTGCCCTGCGTGCGCGCACATGGCTGGGTTCGCTGTTCGGTGTCCTTGAGTGACCCTTCCGAGCTGAAAGTATTAAAGAGCCAGAAATAAGCTGCCCTGTTCGTTAGCAGCGAAAGTGGTTACTTCTCATCTTTAGGCTGTCTCCTCACATTGTAATGCCAAAATAGATAGCGGAGCAGCACAATCTTTTCTTGCTCTCCCAAAAGTAAGACAAAATTCCAGTCACTTACTCTGAGTTGTACGTATCAGTGGGCTTTACATGCGGTTTATTTTTGCCTGACAATAATGTACTTTTCCGTAAGCTTGTTCAAAGGTCTTGTCCAAGATAAACACTTTAAAAGCACTGTGGCATTTCGTGGAACTATTGATTTCTTCGCGATCCCGGTCATTCGGTTCTTATTGACAAGTGTGATTTGTGTAAGCTGGTTGGTCTTGAGGGGTGTATTAATCCTTCACTACACCAATATCACAGAGCACCTCTGCGTGTGAAGAACAGATTTTAATTTTGGAAACAAAGAGCGCACATAATAAACGGAGTAAATTTGATTGCTCTCGTGATTATCTCCTCTTTTAATTACTGCTCATTAGGAGCGATGTTCTATTGTCGCTTACTTTATCTTCTCCTCTGACACAACTCACTTGCCCGTGATAACACACAGTCTACGGCACGTTCCCTAAGACCCATCCACACCTGCGCGGCGGTCAGAAAATGGAGAGCCTGCTGTGGGGTCCCTGGTGCCCACGGTGTGGTCCAGCGAGGCCCCTGCCCAGCAGGCGAACTCAGGATTCCCGCTGTAAACAGCTGACTCCGGTCCAGAACCGGGACGGGGGTCAGACACTACGGAAGGCGTTACAGTCAAAACGACTCCAAAACCAAGTGGAAGAGGCTCTCCCTGGCCGACAAGGGGGCATTCGGAGCCTCCATCGGGATGATGGCGATAGAGGAACGCTCATTAACTATGCCCAAGTTCACGAACGTAAAAGGATGCTGACAAAAGAGACAACGAATTACATAAACCACGGTCGGAGGGTGCTTGCAAGTCAGCGTGCGGTGTAAAAACTGGTACGGAAAAGGGGGAACATCAAGAGAATGTCCCCTCGTTGCCGTTCACAGTGGATCCGGTGAGGGGAGTTCCCTGTTGAAAACCAGGTATCCAGCAGAAAGGCCGACGGGGTCAGAGCACCTCCGTCCTGCTGCTCCTAGCGAGCGGAGATGTCGGTCGGCCAAGGCTACGGGTCAGGGGGGTCAGGGTCAGAGGCAGTTCCACTCATGCCTCCCGAGGGGAGAGGCAACACTGATGATGAAGCACTACCCACACCCACCCCACCCCCACACAAAACCCAGAGCTCTAATCCAATCCACCCATTAGCGATGACAGGAAATGCAGAGATCAGAGGAATGTTCTAGCCAATACCGTAAGTACAAATCTCAGAGAAACTGTAGCACAGAAAACGACCTGTTTTTTTTTCTCCCCCAAGAAATAATGGCATTTATATGACAACAGGAAATTTGAACACTCATAGGATAAGTATGATCATAAGTAGGATTGACAGGACAACTAGTGCTTGGAGAAAGTACTGCTTTTGTTTTGGGGTCTATTTTTTTTAGGGTGATACAATCGCCGCGTTCTT